TTTATCGACATTTTATTAAAAATAAGTTGGATACTGAGATTATTAATGTCTCTCTCAACTTGCTTAATAAGTTGGGCATGTGTGACATCTTTGCTTCAACTTGAGAGGAAGTGTTGGCGAAATCCTACTTTGATTAGGAGATTTATTTCATATTCTATTAGGATTTTATTTCTTTTTCTCTTTTATACAAATCTTGTGTAATTAGGTTTTTTATTTGTTTACGTGTATGGTAAATACCTCCTTTTGGAGAACAAAAATATATCAAAAAATATTCAACCCTATGTTGTTTGACTCAATATTTATCTGAAAATCTACAAATTTTGAAGGCAAGAGCAAATGAAACTATGTACCATAAAAAAATCTAAATATTTAGGCCCAAAAACCTAGTAAGCTAGCATGGCCCATCACTACAAAGTCATGACCCAAAAGCGAAATATGGATTTAGATTTGGTTGTGCAAAACTTAGTTAGAGAGGAAATGTTTTGGGTTTACCATATCAAACATATGGCATGCTAATTAGCAACTGAAGTGACCTCATGAATTGGAGTGATATGGCATGCTAATTAGCAACTGAAGTGACCTCATGAATTGGAGTGAGGGTTCGAACCTCATGAGTTGACTCACACATTGATTCTTACCTAATTAAGGACATAAAGCCAAATTACAAATCATAAATAGACTGATGCTAAGTCTTTTTGTACTATAGTATTATAGTAGTGGCGTTTCTAAGACGCATGTTTGCAATTAGCTGTTGGTCTAGTAGTATTTATTTTTCTAATATTAGAAAACGTAACAAATTCCTAATTTTTATAATTGAATTTTTACTTTTAGTACTCTGTTGCTAATTGGCTAATTACTGAATTAGTATCTAATATTTTTTTTTTGTTTATTTAACTCCACACCAACAATTGCCAAGTAGTCAATCACGTGGTGCTTGGCATGACTTATCGGATCCACAAAAGCGATGATTAATTAAAAAATCAAAATCAACTTGACATTGTGATAGAAAAAGACAGATTCCCATGTCATGAGGGTTGGTGAGTTACTCATTAATTAATTATGACTGAAATTAATGAAACATTATTTTTAAATCTATTTCATCAATTTTGATCTCTTCAAAATAACCGTTTCTAACCGTTTCACACGCCAAATATTAAGATATTTACGTTTGTAACAGAAAACTATTCCATTTATATTACTCAATTAGCTATCAATGGGTCTTTTGAGTGAGCGGGATTATATGGCTTGATATAATTTCTTAATCCTAATTAAATATTTGGTGGCCTAATAAAATAATTTTAGATGGCTAACTATACAAATTAGTTACTATAACAAAACTAACCTTTAATTAATCAAAACCTCATATTTAAACAAGACAATTAAAATATTTCTAGACGGCTTGCCGTTTTTCATGGTAAATTGCATGTTGAAGTGACACATGATATGATGTGGGTGGGCTTAGGATTAATTAATGCAACCATGTAACAATTTTTTTAGATTATGAAATATGGGTTAGGTAGTTTGTGGATCATCCTAATTATCAAGGTATAACTATTTAAGATTCAATTGTTGACCATGCCAAGATAAGTTGCCGGTGTCTTAATCACCTTATCTCTTTTTTTTTTCTTTTTTTTTTTTTATAATGTTAATGTTAACTTAATTTCTTAATCACTTCCTTAATTTGGTCATCACTTTTTGTCTCATTTTACGCCACAATTAACGATTCAATGCCATTGCCATCAAATATCATCATGATGAAGATAGGGCAACCCCCCTATCTATCCTAATAATCTTTTTATCCAAAAAAATTTGACCTCAATAATCTAATCTAATGCCTCTACGGCAATTAGGATGGCTCTCTCTCTCTCTCTCTCTCTCTCTCTCTCTCTCTCAAAACTACACGTGGTGCCTGCCCAATTGAATGCTCTCTTTGCTTGGCAAAACATGTTCACCTTTGGCAAATATTCCATCTAATCTTGGTCTTCTTCTCATTAAACAACTTCTTCTTCTTCTTCTTCTTTTCTTCTCAATATTCGGTGGTCCTAATTTCAAGAAATTTAGCACATGATGTCTTTTGCGAAATTGAATAGGCAATATGTCTAGGAGCAGATAAAGTATACTATATAGATTGAAGTGTAATTTCTATTCATCACTTTTAAACCTAGTGCGTCATCATTACCTCACTAATTATGTGCCACACACTACTTCCATTTAGTGATATTTTACTATATGTGACAGTTTAAGAAACCCATCTTCTAAGTTCATTTGGGTTTAAGTTTTGTTGAAAGTTGTTGGTCTTAAATAATAATAAAAAATTGAGCAAAAAATGACTCTTAGAATTGTATCTTGTCATCATATCAATGTAATCAGCGGCGGAGCTACGTACAGGATTGTAGTTGTCGTGGCCCCTCTGAGTTCATGAAAAAACCAATAACCCTTAAACATCTGCCGCAATATCAGTTGAAATAAAAAGCTATAAAACCTTATAATTACAGTATTAGTCTCTCCAAAGACAAGGTACTAGCTCCGCTACAGAATGTAATTGTATCAAATGATCATGAACAATAACATAACTGACACACATACTCATTTTTAATATGAATACTAATTAATTAATTAAAAAGTGTAAATTAGTACAATATTTATCTGAAAACCTACAAATTTGAAGGCAAAAGCAAAAGAAATTATGTACCATAAAAAAAAAATCCAGATATTTAGGCAAATAAAAAGGTGGGGAAAGCATGGGAGGGAGCAAATGTGGATCGTGCAGAAGCGTTGTAGGGAATCGGACAAGGGCCAAAAGAGGAGGAGGAGGAGGACAAGACCCGGTCAAAGTGGGCTTTTACTTTTTCCTCCTTCTTTTTTGGCATTATCGGACCAGACCGATCGCTGTCTACCTGTCACGGAACAACGCGTACGTACATCAGCGCCGTTTGCTGACTCACAGCACTCCTCTAGATGAATGGATCACCATCTAACGTTCTTGCCCTTAGTTTTAATGTAAATCTCTAAACTGCCATTATACGTACATGCAATTTTTCCCATGGGTCTAATGAATATATTTGATTAATCAAATTAGATGCTAGACTTGATAGAGACAAGAGAAACCAAGAATTTTGGTTCTTTAATATATTTGTTTATTTATATTTTGAACAAATATTCAAAGAAAAAATCTTAGCTCCATCTCTCTCAAAAAACACTTTACAATTGTTTTCACTTTGAGGGAGGAGGAAGTCACTATTTTTCCTCCCCTCTCCCCTCCTCTCTTCTTCCCCTCTCCCCTTCTCCTATTTTCTCTAATTTTTAGAAACAGAAGGGTTCACCTATTTGTCTTCTTTTTGTAATAATTTTTCTCCACTCATTACAAGTGAAAACGCCTCGGCATGGAATCTTCACATGCGTCTCGGTGTCGGATCTCTATCACTATCTTTTTTGCAGTTTCTTTATATTTAAATAAGTCACAAAAACTTTTTGGATTTTCTGTGTAGTTTTTACCTCTCCTTTTGTGAGAGTTTTTCACCTCTCATTTATGAGAGTTTTATTTGTATTGTTATGACTTGATTTTTTCAAGCTTTATCTATTTTTGGTTATTCTGAATTTACAATCTTAGTTAAGATGCTTATACCATAATTTCTTCGATCGTGCATGATTGTTAGTGAAGGAGCCCTATACTATCTTAATTTTGATGTTAAATCGCTCCATTATTGGAATGACCCTTTGTGAGTAGTGCTTGTTTTGACGGAATTATGAATTCAATTCCAGAATTTCTCAAAAAAGAAAAAAAGAAAGAAAAATACTAGACTTGATATTTTCAACCCAAAAATCCTATATAAAAAGCTTGACATATACAAGCATATATAACATATATCATCTAATTAAGTTGTTCTATTAATTTTAGCAATTCAACTTATAATACCATTACTTGATGGTGGTGCCATACATGGAAAATAATGAAATAGTTGTAAGCACTTGGTCAAATCAAAGATCATAGATAGCTTGTAACTAAATGAAATCATAGATAGTTGAGAAATGCACATTGGGAGATTACTCTATCCTCTTATTTGGTAGAGTAGCGCAGTAACCGAAATAGAAATTTTACATTTGTGCTTAAAACCAATTGATAATTGCTGAAAAAAATTTAGGATCTTTTGAATGCATGTGGAATAATTCGTGCTACCCAATATGTTATCTTCCCCATTTTGCTAACACCATACCTTAGAAATTAATTATGTAGGAAGGCGAACATTTTATAAGAACATGTACACTTACACATGCATCTGCCCCCAATGGGCCATAGATACATGTTTCCTTGACGACAACACAATGTGTATGTAATCTTCATCCAAAGACTTGACTAAATTTGAAACTAATACATCTAACTGTTTGAGAAGAGTAAAATTGAAGGACTTTATGCGTAATCTATCAATATATTATACAAACAAGTATTTACAAAAAGATTCTTAGCATTTTAACCACTCGCACATTCTTTATTGAAACTTGGGCTAAAATCATGTTGCCCTTATCTCTTTTTTTTTCTTTTTCTTTTTTTCTGTCATTGCTCCTCTTACAGATCCATCCGCAGTACTATTATTCAGCATTTATTTCACAATGAGATATTTTTCAAGTGATTAAAATCATTGTATATTCAGCAACTTCAAAAAATAAGATAGCCGGTAAATAGATGCAGAGAAACACAACCCAAGTTGAAGTAATCAAAGCCAAACTCTATCTTCTCACATGCTAAAACTGCGCATTTTTCGATCAAGATTCATTTGTAAAAACTAAAAACTAGCTAATCAAATTTTGCTTCCATATTTAAAGCAGCAAATTGGTTTTGTTTTGTAATTCTAGGAGACAGTGAAGGGTAGTCTTGGAACAATATTCCTAGTCAGCGTCTACAAAAAGGAGCAGGAAACGGTCTCGCCCCCGACCAGGCCATCGATTTATTTCGCCCCATATATAACTGCCAAAACCACCCGACTCCCCTTGTCTTTCGAATTTTTACACCTCTCCCTTTCTCCTTTTTCTCTCCTCTCTCTCTCTCTGTTTCTCATTTCTCTCTTTTTCCTTTTCCAAATTTAGTTCCAGGAGAGAAAAAACGAAAACACACACCAGTAAACAAAAACAATCCCGAAATGGGTGCCACAGATAACCAGGGTTCGTTTCTGAACCGAATCAGCATCAGAAGAAACCAGGTGGTTTCCATGGAAGGCAACCACGAGCAAGAGCTCGAAGACCTCGAACACTTCCAGAAGCACGTCGCCGATCGATTCTCCGACCTCTTATCTCCCTCGGAAGACTTTCCCTCCGACCCGATGCTATCAATTGCGTGGGTCCGGAAGCTGCTCGACGTTTTTCTCTGCTGCGAGGCCGAGTTCAAGGCTGTTCTGCTGATGGGTCGAGACCAATCTCAGATTTCCAAGCCCCCACTCGACCGTCTTGTCCCCGAGTTCTTGGACCGCGTTGTCAAAGCGTTGGACATTTGCAATGCGGTCTCGCACGGGGTCGATTCCGTCAGGCATTTCCAGAAGCTGGCTGAGATTGCGGTCTCTGCTCTGGAGCAGAGGCCGATTGGGGAAGGCCAGGTTCGGAGAGCGAAGAAGGCGCTGAGCGCGCTGGTGACCGGGATGGCGGTGGAGGACAAAGAAGGGGGTGGAAACAAAGCCACAGAAAGAAACTGGTCTTTCGGTCGCAGGAGTGGCGTTTCTGCCCCGAATAAAGAGCGGGCTGTCGGGCATTTTCGGGCTTTGTCGTGGGGAATGTCAAAAGGCTGGTCCGCCGCCAAGCAAATTCAGGCGATGTCGAGCAATCTGGTGGCTCCGAAAGGCAATGAGGCCTCTGGGTTGGCCCAGCCGGTTTACATAATGAGCACAATTATGCTGTTTGTGATGTGGATGTTGGTGACGGCGATCCCCTGCCAGGAGAGAACCGGGCTGATGACGCATTTTCCGGTGCCAAGGAATTTGGCGTGGGCTCAGGCCATGATCGGCCTCCAGGAGAAAATCAGCGAGGAGTGGAAGAAGAAGGAGAAGAAGGGCTCGGCTGGCTTGCTCGAGGAGATGCAGAAGATGGAGAAATTGGGGCAGAGTTTGATCGAGTTTTCGGACTCTTTTCAGTTCCCCGCGGAGGCGGAAAAGCTGGAGGAGGTTGCTGCGCAGGTGGCGGAGTTGGCGGAGACTTGCAGGAAAATGGAGGAGGGTTTGGTGCCTTTACAACAGCAGATCAGAGAGTTGTTTCACAGGGTGGTGAGGAGCAGGTCAGAGGTGCTTGATGTTTTGGACCAAGGAGGCAAAGCCTCCGCGCCCGTCATGTAAAGATCAAAACTTGGGTCCTGACTAGTCAAAGACGAACAACAATCGAAAAGTTCAATTTATTCAAGGAGGTGAATTTTGCAATGTTGTTCGTAGTTTCAAATTTGCTCAATGAGCCAAGAACATGAAGTTTGTTTTTTTTTTTTCTTTTCTGATCTTGCAATGTGAATTAGAGTATAGTTATTAGAAAGGGTTCATTTCGGTAGGAGTATACGTAGCCTAATAGCCAAAGTACTTCAGCCAGCCTATACAGAATGTGCTGAAGTATGCTTTGCTTATCTACTCTGTTTTTCTTTCCTTGTGTTCTTGGTTGGTTATTTGGGTACAGAAAATCTAACTGAAAAGAGGAAATGTACATACCCAATTGAAGTTGGTGTTTTCTCTTTTTCTATTCGGGTTCTTCAATTCTCTTTTTCTTTCTCCTTTGTCAATATTTGTTCCTGATTGTGTTCTGCAGTTTCTGCTTTTGCTTTTTGCTTTTTGCTTTCACCAAACACTTATAAAATATTCAATTTTGGAGACGTCAAATCATAGTGAAAAAGTCTTGAAGACAAGATGGTGCCCTTTAACTACCAACCGAAAGTGAAAAGGTGTAACCGCAATTGGGGCAAAGACAACTTCTATGATTGGCAGTCATCTGTGCCACTTGTTTCACAGGAACAAACCTCAGATTACAGTACTGGCCAAAATGCTAGGTCATCCTGTTTTTCACTACAACTAACTTCTTCAGGGTCATTTGTGGCATTAGAAGTTTGGAACTATTTATGATGACTTGGAGGAACCAACACACAGCGTATATAAAGTAAAGAAGACATAAGGGCTCTTGACAAAAAAAAAAAAAAAAACAGAAAAAAGAAGACATATGGGCTAGGCAAGCCTCTCTGTGACTTGGGTTTTTTGGCATGTAAAAGATCAAAGCATGTGACTTTTGAGGCCTCTTACTGATTGCAGTTTCACATTCCCCATATGACCCACCACCAATTCTTCAACATTTGATTCATGAGTGGAAAGCTTAGCTGCAAACTTTTGATTCATGAGTGCGAACTTTTGTTCTTTATTTGTTATTTCCTGGATTTTGGTTTCTACCATTTTGGTCCATGCAGAGCTCAAGGATAGGTTAGATTGTTGTAGAAGAGTGGTGATTTGGTTTTCCTTTGTCCCCATTGGTAGAACATACTGGCCGTTAATTAACAGCATTGGAATATATTATTATTATGGCAGCCACCCCAACTGACAGATATTCCTACTGCAAAGTGACGGCAACAAAGATTTGAATGCAATAGAGATTCTTTTGTGCGACTGGTGTATACGGCATCACACTCACAAGGATGGTATCACGACTGGGTCATATGATACCAAATTATAAGCAGCTCTAGTCTTTATGAGAGTAGTGTTACGTGGTCTGAGATGTCATATATAATAATTTCTCTCAATACATAAGAGAATTAAATTTGTTGGTGTTAGGATTATATATGCATAATGATCAGAGATTAATATGGCTTTTAGGGGAAATCAAACGTTTAATTCTATTTTTAAGGCTTAACTAAAGGACAAACGATGTGATTTGAGTGAGATATGGGGCATGCTAATCTTCTCTGTATCGTTCCAATTTTATCGGATGTCTCCAAAGAGACGCCGTGTCATAAACTTCTTTCTCAGTGAACTTCTTGGACCTCAGAGCATGACTAAATGGGTCGAGTCGAATCATTTGTGTAGATGGGCTTGCTTCCTCAAGATCCATTAAGAAATTGATTAAATAGACTGGACCAAACCCAATTCTAACTTTTAAATTTCACGAAGAGAGGCCCCACCCTTTTCTGTTTCACCAAGTTGGGCCCACTTTGGCTAGGTCTAAACAACGACTTATTTGCAAATGAAGCTTCACTTGGCTTCAGGAGAAACCAATTTGGTACATATCGGATGGCATTAGATTTTTGTATTTTATAAATCAAATGACAATTTATTAATCAAAACAAATCAAACAATACTGTTGTCGGCATGTAGAGACGTGGAACGTTCTCGAATAAATTACGTGGACAGAACCAAACGACGACGTGTCGAGCAATTTACTGGTTTCCAACTTTCCAATACATAACTTATGCACAAGCAAAACGGCGCCGTATCACTCCCCAGACATTTGGAAACGTCCTCCATGGCTAATGCAGTGCCTTCTGAAGCCAGCGATTCGTCCGCCAGCATACACTTCTCCCTCACTGACCTTTGGATCTTTTCAAGAGCCACCCACCAATAATTAATTAATTAATTTAATTACAGAAAAAAAATCTGAAAACAAAGCCACTCTCAGTTCCCAATGTCTTCAGGTTGGAGCTCTACAAAATCAAACCCCACTATCACTCTCATCTCCATTTTACCTTCTTCAATCTTGATCGTCGTTGTAGAATCCCTAATTTTCTTTAATTTCATTTCTCTTTCTTGCTTGGCAAGCTACAGTTCGCAGACGAATGGCGAACCTAGCCAACTCTGTGTGCTTGAAGCACTCCGTTTCTCTCTGGTTCCCTCATCAATC